TTTTTTTTTTTTTTTTTTTTTTGCACAGTGGGCGCTAAACTGAAATGTGCCCTTAATTTGGCTGTGCTTGGGGCTAAGACTAAGTATCAGTGTTCACGGTTACTAGGATTTTTTTTTTTTAATATGAAAGCTTCACGAATTTGCATGTCATCCTTGCTGAGGCCATATTAATCTTCTCGTATTGTTCCAACTTTAGTGTATGTGCTGCCAAAGCGAACACTATTAAGAATTTCTTCCAAACGTCCAAAGGGGTGAGGTCTCTCCAGTTCTTTTCCTACACCCTCTCTCTCTCTCGTCAGTGTTCTCTTCCCACAGGGATGGGGTAGGCGGAATCCATCCCTAGGTGGCCGAACCTCTCTGGCTGACCCCAAGCCTGCTCTCAGCAAGAACAAGGAGCTGCAGCGTGTGGATCTCCACGTAGGCACCGGAGCGGCCATCTTGCATGCGGGCAGAATCGGCTTCCGAGGCTAGACCCGCCGAGCTGTTGCCCGTAGTTAAGATGGCTCCCGAGGCTGGGCGTGGCTTGTGCCTGGGCATCGCGAGGAGGTGGGGAAATCATGGCGACTGCCGGGGAGCAGAATCGGCAGGACGAGGAAGGAGAAGAAGAGGAGGTAGTGAGTGCTAAGCCAAAAGCTGGTGCGGCGGTAGCGTGGATGGCCTTGCCGGCTGTGTGTGGGAAAGAGAATCCGGGATGCGGCGGGAGGGAGGGGAGGAGAGCCCGCGGACGGCTACGCGATTCGGGCGCGCGGAGCCAGGGAGCGGTAGCCTCAGCCTTGATTGCCAGGCGGTAGCGAGGAGGTTACGGTTGGTAATGTCTCTGGCTTCCTCCTCTTGAAAGCAGGGCCCGATTTCCACAAAGGTGGATTCAATACAATGGGGAATTTTTTACTTGTCTTAATTGCTTTTCCTGTTACAATTTCTTCTTCCAGGAGCAGTTGGTTCTGGTGGAATTGTCAGGAATTATTGATTCAGATTTTCTTTCAAAATGTGAAAATAAATGCAAGGTTTTGGTGAGTCGTCTAGAATTATTGGGGGATTGTTGCAGTTTTTTTAAATACACGAATAAAGGGGGAAATAGCTGCTCTCAGAGACTGGTTATCTTCTCATTACAAAGCAGTGAACTCTAAGGATCTTCATAGACAAGAGGACCATGGGATTAATGCCAAACTCTGCTTGAGTATCTGAGTGGCTAATTGGAGAGAAATTTAGATTTGGAGGAGGTGTTATTTTATTGAACAATGCGGTATTTAAAAAAATTTTTTTTTTTTTTGTTGATGCATACAAGAGCAGGGGAAGGGGGTGGGGGAGGTGAAAGGATTCACCAGAGGTAGAGTGGGGAGCAGGACAAGCAGATCCACTGAAATACACTGCTGAGGGGAGCTGTAGGCTGACCAGAGAGGTCTGCTGCACCTGGGTCAGCTCCCTGGCCTGGATGGACCTCCTACTGCAGTAGTTATTGATAGCTTCATTAGTGCTGAGACTTAACCCCTTGTACACCAGGGAGGCCCCCAGGTTGGCATATTTTGAAAACACACACACACACATACATCCTGAAAGCCGGGGTGGAAGAGAAACACAAAGTGAAGGAGGAGAAATCAGATGTGCAAACTGAGGTTAAACTATGGGGAAGACAACTAGTAATTCCAGAGCCCTCACACTGTGCTTTTGATTTTAACTATCGTATGAGTTACCACCTGATTTATCATTTTAAACTGTTAGAGCTGTTGTAGATACAATGCCCAGTTCTTGTCTTAAAAGGAAGAGGATGTTAATTGCAATAAATAAAACTTGTTAGTGGGGTAAGAACTAAGTAATCTTCAGGTTGTATAGTGGCTGTGATCAGAGAAGTTTTAAGTTTACCTTATAATTGCTAGAAAACCACTCTAGAGGTCTTCTAGTTTTGGAGAGTAAACCTCTTGGTAGCAAGGTTACATAAAGAAAACTTTTTTTTTTTTAAGATTTATTTATTTATTCATACAGAACTGGGGTACAGGCCAGAGATGTGGAGGTGAGAGGATTCACCAGAGACAGAGTGGGGAGCAGTACAGGCAGATTGGCGAAGTACACTGCTGAGGGGAGCAGCGGGCGGGTCAGGAGAGGTCTGCCACGCCATGTGGTCACCTTTGGGGCAGGCGGGGATGGAACTCATGAGGAAGTGGCTTTAGCTTCTAAGTGCTGTGCTTTAACCTGCTGCGCCACCAGGGAGGGCCAAGAAAACTTTTTTAAGTGATTTTTTTTAATGATCCTACATTCTGTTGTAGGGTATCGATACTGAGAGGCCTATTCTGCAAGTGGACAGCTATGTCTTTGCTGGGGAGTATGAAGGTAGGATGTCAGATGAAACTCCTTTTAAAATAGGATTCTCAGAGAAAGTCATTCAGTATTTTTGAACAAGTTGACTTCACATTTTCTTGCAGATACTCTTGGGACCTGTGTTATATTTGAAGAAAACATTGAACATGGTGAGTGATTGCTATACTAACCCAACTCTTTACTATGAAATCTTTCAAACATACATGTACAGTGAATAGTAAACATCTGATTGTCTAGGTTTATCAAATCCTTTCATTGTGTCAGATATCAAAAATCATTCTAGATACATTTGAAGTTCTGTGTATATCCTACTCCAAACTTAACCTCTCTTTCAATCTTCAAAGAGGTAATCCCTCTCCAGAATTTAGTGTTTCCCCTATATCTGATTTTATATTGCATATGTATGTTTCCACAAATAATAACATTGTTTGTAGATTTTCAGACTTGTTTTTTAGAGATGTTTTGAGATTTGTATCTGTTGATATAATCCTAGCTGATTTTCCCTGTTACTAGTGTTCTAGGTGTGACTGTATTACATATTATTCTCGTTTTACTGGACAATTGCCATTTACTAATAACCATTACTCCAGATTTTTACTGAGTGCCTTATATATGTCTGACACTGTTCAAAATGTTACTTGTACTCATTTAGTATCCTTACTACAACAGTTTTAGATAACATTATTATTTTATATTTGGAAACACTCAGGCACAGAGAGGTGAATAGTAGTAACATCAAGGTCATACATTAGGTAAGTGGAAGAGCGAGGATTCAACCTTTGGTGTTTGCTCTAGAGCCCATATATTCTTTTTTTTTTAAAGATTTATTTATTTATGCATACAGAACTGGGGTATAGGCCAGAGGTGTAGGGGCGCTGAGAGGATTCACCAGAGACAAGAGTGGGGAGCAGAACAGGCTGACTGATGAATTACACTGCTGAGGGGAGCGGGGAGGGTCAGGAGAGGTCTGCCATACCATGTGGTCACCTTCGGTATATACATAGAAATGGAATTGCTAGATTGTGAGTGTGTCTCCAACCTTACTACTAGGTTCAGTCATGTGATTTACCAGTTTTGCCATGTAATTCAACTTAATAAATATCTCTGTGTTGCTTTTTCAAAGTGTAATGTCGGTTACATTTCAAGTACCAGGGGAGAGGAGTCTACAGTGTGTTTCACATCCTTAACTCAGAGAGTCATCCCTTGCCTGTGCCTGTATTTTCTATAAAGCTGTAACCCCAGGCAGCAGGTTGGTAGTTACCTATGCAGCTTCCATTCATGATTGGCAATGTGCCCATTTTTGGCTTCAAGTAATGTCTGACTTTGATCCTTCATTTTGAAGGTAGATTTTAGACTTCATTACTCTTTAAGGCCAAATTCTTGGCCCTAGTTCTAATTCAGTGCTAGAGCCTATAGGCCTATCATTTTAGTCACTCATACCTTTGTATTTCTATCTCCAAAAGATATTTACTTTTTTTGTTGTGCCTTAAGTTGTTAAGATTTTTATTTGTCTTTATTTGTTCCTGTAGCAACTAAAAGTGATAAGGTCGGTCTTGAATTTACCCTGACAGAAAGTTGCTTAACTCCCTAAACTAGAATTATTGAGACTGAACATGGTTATTTTGTGAAATTAAACAATATAATAATTGAATTCATTTTATATTCTAGTGGATGCAGAAGGCAATAATAAAACAGTGCTGAAGTATAAATGTCATACAATGAAGAAGCTCAGCATGACAAGAACACTACTGACAGAAAAGAAGGAAGGAGAAGAAAATATAGGTTAGTTCACTTAAATTCCCTAATAAAACTAGGTGATGTAATATTAGCTTTGACAATAATAACATTTCTGCCAGGACATTCCTGTACTTTGCAGTAATCGTTTTTTTTTTTTTTTTTAAAGATTTATTTTACTTATTTTATACATACAAGAACTGGAGTGAAGGCCAGAGGTGCTAGGGGTGAGTGGATTCACCAGAGACCAAATGGGGAGAAGAACAAGTGGATCTACTGAAATATACTGCTGAGGGGAGCAGTGGGTGAGACAGGAGAGGTCTGTTGCGCCTTAGGTCTGTGCCCTAGCTGGGGATCAAACTCATGCAATTATGGCTGGCCTTAGTTTGACAGTGCTGAGACTTTAACCCCTGTGCCATCTGGGAGGCCTCTGTAGTAATACTTACATGTAATGTTAAATACGTAAGATTAAGCTGCTCCATGGAAAGTACCAAACAAATTTAAAAATCATTTGAACTTTAATATAGCAGAGGACACTGAAACATGAAATCAGAAATCTTTACCTGCTTTGCATTGGACATAACACCTGATAAGGAGTTGGTCAAGAAACTTGATAAGATTTCCAACTTGTAGGGCATTCAGCAGTCCTTTTTTTTAAAAAAAATAAGAACTTTCTTATCATACAGAAGACATAGTGATAGTAGTTCTGGATTTCCAAGCCAGATGATTTTTTGGGAACTTCTGGTCGTTGCCACAACCTTCCTGAGAAGCTTACCGCAGAGAAGCTTGCTGTATATGTGGTGAAATGACTCTAAGACTATAGTTGGTAATCCTGAGTCGAATTCTTAATTAGTATCCATTTAACCATCTCTGCTATACCTTACAGACTGAGACTTTACACCACTGCTCCTTCTGCCCATGGAAGGCACGTGTGCAGAAGAGCAGATCGTCTGTTCAGTGGAGAAATGAACAGATAATCACCTTATGTTTTAAAAGCTCAAGCTCAAAGACATATTGAAATTCTAATAAATAGTAATAAGTAGTGATAAGTATTCATGGCTAACTAATGATAGCTAATAACTAGTGATACGTATTATGGCTTGATAGATTTATTTTAAGAAATAAGCAGTTGAAGGTATACTAATAGAAATTAGTTACACCAGCTCCAATAGCTGCATAACAGATCATTGCATTTATCAGTGTGTGTCCCAAAACTTTCCCCTTTTTTGACACTTTAAAATAATAGGAAGAATGGGGCCTCCCTGGTAAATAGGGGTTTAAGTCTCAGTGCTATCAGGCTGTCACCAGCCATTGAAGCATGAATTCAGTCTCTGGCCAGGGAGCTACCCTCCCTAATATGGCATTGGAGATCTCTCTTGTCTTGCCTGCTGTTCTCCTCAGTAGTGTGTTCAATAGATCTTCCTGTTCTGCTCCTCACTCTGTCTCCAGTGAATCCTCTCATCCCTCACACTTCTGGCCTACACCCCAGTGCCTGTATGCATAAATAAATAAAAGTAAATCTTTAAAAAAATAAAGCCTAATTTAAAATAATAACACAGGAAGGAGGTACTTAAAAGTTCTAGAATGAACTTGAAAGGTAGTTTCAAGAAGTCACAAATTTAGTTAATTAAGATACTGCTAAAGGAAGTTGCAGTATTTACTTTGTAGTCATTAGTAATCTGGAAATCTTTTTTTTTTTTTTTTAAAGATTTATCCATTTATTCATACAGAACTGGGGTACAGGCCAGAGGCTCAGGGACGGTGAGAGGCTTCACCAGAGACAGAGTGGGGAGCAGAACAGGCAGATTGACGAAGTACACTGCTGAGGGGAGCAGCGGGCGGGTCAGGAGAGGTCTGCCACGCCATGTGGTCTCCTCCGGGGCAGGCGGCAGGCGGGAATCGAACTCATGCGGAAGTGGCTTCAGATTCTCAGTGCTGTGCTTTAACCCGCTGCGCCACCAGGGAGGGCCTGGAAATCTTTTTTTAAAATCAGTAACTAAGTATTCAAACCTGTATTAGTTATCTATTACTGCATAAAAAATTACCCCTAAACTTGGTACCCCCACCCCCCAAAAAAAGCTAAAAACAATCAGTTTGTGCTGGTTGTTAACAAGACTTACTTCCTTGCCTCTTCATAGTATCAGATAAGTGCTCTCCTGACATGGAAGCTGGTTTCTTCCAAATCAAGTGATTCATGAGAATAAGGTAGAAACATGGTGCCTTTTCTGAACTAGCCTTAGAATTTTCATTTAGTCATTTCTGCAATATCCCACTCAGAAATGGTACAACGTAGGGGCATAACTATCAGGCAAGTGAGAATTGTTGTGGGGACCATTTTGGAGGCTGGCTACCACGCATGTGGTCCTTACTTTCTAGGAATTAGCATTCTGAATTAAATTGAAACAAAGATGGGTGTGACTCAGTACTCATTTCATTCAACTTTACTTTAAATATTTGTTAAAGCTACATAATAATGATGACTTCAAGGGTTTAAACCAGGGAGAATAATGAATGCTACTGCAGGAAAATAATATGAAAGTCACTAGTTGAAGTGGCACTGGAAGGGAAAAGGACTAAGTAATTTTTGATAGAGACTAAGAATAATAGGAGAAGACATGGGAGCAGCGATGAGGATGTTTTAACAAATAGCTGCATAAGATTTAAACAATAGCATATGGATATGTGAACAGGGTGGAAGGATAGGTTGGGGTATCTTAGAGATACCTTGTGGGGTATCTTAGAGACAAACAGCGTGGGCTTGCTGTGGGGCTCATTGCTAGAAAGTAATAAGAATGCATTGAAAATATTTGGCTGGAAGGTTGTAATAAGGAAAAAAGAAAAAATGACTAGCATTATTGGAGCAATTCTTGAATATGGGGTTAAGGAACAAAATTTTTTTCTAATTTAATTTTGAGAGGTATCTTATTTCATAAATGGATGCTCAGACTCAAAATGACAGAGAAGTATTGACTTAGAAAAAGATTTGTGCATGCAAATTATATTTTTTTAAAGGTTTATTTATGCATACAAGAACTGGGGTACAGGCCAGAGGTGGGGGGTTCGGTGTAAGTGGATTCACCAGAGACAACATGGGGAGCAGAACAGGTGGATCCACTGAAATACACTGCTGAGGGGAGCAGTGTGTGAGACAGGAGAGGTCTGCCGCACTAGGTGTTCTAGCTCCCTGGCCTGGGATGAAACTCATGCTGCAGTGATTGGTGATAGCCTGATCGCACTATGTTTTCAACCCCTGCACCACCAGGGAGGCCCTTAAATTGAGTGGATAAAGAGAAAATTGTAGCAAAGGACAAAATTTTCTTTAAGGCAGTGAGAGCTCAAATTAACTCTCAGAATAAATTGTAAATTGAACTCAGTTACTTGGCATAGTAACGGAAGTTGTAGTTTAGTGATTTTGGTGATAAATGCCCTATAGACATTCCAAGGTCTCCTTCTAAGATGGAAATTATATGATTATTTAGCTACTTTATATTGGGATATTATTTTGGCATGTATTCATGGGATGAAAATTCTTAAAGAAAAAGAGAAAAATAAACTCCTTTTTTTTTTTTAAGACTTATTTATGCATACAGAACTGATGTACAGGCCAGAGGTGCAGAAATGGTGAACGAATTCACCAGAGACAGAGCAGGGAACAGAACAGGCAGATTGACTAAGTACACTGCTGAGGGGAGCAGCGGGCGGGTCAGGAGAGTTCTACCACACTATGTGGGTCACCTCCCTGGCAGGGAATCAAACTTGCGCTGAAGTGGCTGCAGCAAGCTTCACAGTGCTGCCCTTTAACCCGTTGTGCCAGTGGGAGCCCCCTGAAATTCCTTTTTCATGCTTCTTGATTTATCCTCCTTCTCATCCTTCCCAATTAGGTGGTGTGGAGTGGCTACAGATCAAGGACAATGATTTCTCCTATAGACCCAATATGATTTGTAGCTTTCTGCATGAAAATGAAGATGAAGAAGCTGTAGCTTCAGCCCCAGATAAATCGTTAGAATTGGAAGAGCAAGAGATACAAATGAAAGATAATTTAAATCTAAGTTCTGAACAAGAGAAATCACCACACTTGGAATTGGATGATTCTGGTCCTCTTACTGCTAATACTTCTGAGGTAGAAGGTTCTGTTTTTATGGAATCTCAGGATACTGCCTAGAAATCACGCCTAGGTGATAATGTTTCTCAAAACCATGAAATTTTTATTTTTAGAATTTTTGTATAAAATGACTATAACTTTCAGTTGTTCACTATTATTTTTTGTTGACTATATACACATTCCCCAGTGATAGCCCAACTTAATATACCAGGATCATAAAGAGCCAGATATGAATTGAAATTTTAAAAATATGATTTAAATGATTATAGGGATCCTTCTTTGATGAATTCTTTAAACTGGAGGCTTTACTAAGGTAAGTATCTGTTTTCTATTGCCATATACACAAATCACCACAGACTTAGTGACATAAACAACACAAGTTTATATTCTTGTAGTTTTGCAGGTCAGCCATCTGACATGGGTCTCACTTGACCTAAAATCAAGGTTGTTGGCAAGACTTTGTTCTTCGTGGAGGCTGGGAGTGGAATGGGGGACTTTTTTTCTTTGTTCATTTACTTACTGGCAGAATTAAATTTCTTGCAATTGAAGGGTCAAGGTCCCATTTCCTTGCTGTCAACTTAGCATCTAGCAGCTATTTGCATTCCTTAACTTGTGATTCTCTTCTCTTCAAAGCCATTAATAGTCAAATCCCTCTTTTTGAGCCTCTTCTGCTACTTCCTTTATCCTCTGATCAGCCCTTTGTCTTCTACTTTTAAAGGTCCATGTGATTACAGTGGGCCTATATGGATGATCTCCTTATTTGAGGTCTGTAACCTTAATTCCATCTGCAGAGTTCCTTTTTTTTTTTTTTAAAGATTTATTTATTTATGCATACAGAACTGGGGTACAAGCCAGAGGTGCAGGGGTGGTGAGAGGATTCACCAGGAATAGAGTGGGGAGCAGAGCAGACAGATCAACAAAGTACACTGCTGAGGGGAGCAGCGGGCGGGTCTGGAGAGGTCTGCCACGCCATGTGGTCACCTCCGGGGGCAGGCGGGGATCGAACTCATGCTGAAGTGGCTTTAGCTTCTTAGTGCTGTGCTTTAACCTGCTGCGCCACCAGGGAGGGCCCAGAGTTCCTTTTACTATGTATTTTATCATTAACAGACATAAAACTGAGTATTAGAGCATGAAATCTTTGGAGGGCCATTTTTCAGTCAACACTATTATATCTAGAAATCGAAATAGTTTGGAAATGCTTAAGGATAAAGATACTGTTCTTTTTTGATATTCCAACTTTAATTCCATCCCTATTCCAGTTGAAAAGAATTACTGGATTTTAGTTGTAACAGTCATTCTGTTACAGCATTATTTTAGATCCAGTCTAGTTTATATATTTTAAAGTAAATTATTCATAGACGTTGATACTTTGGTATAGGGTGAACTATATGAAACTGGCAGTATTTGTGTTTGACTACTACTGCACTTTCATATGGTTTCACCTGGTACAAAGATATTTAAAATCCACCTCATATTAATTGTATCTCACAACTGTTAAGAGATAATAACTATTGTAACAAATTAAGGAACTAACATTCTAGGATAAATAGTTTTCTCTCAATAAGTCTTAACAACTTTTAGTTGGAAAACAGCTTATGCTGACTAGTAGTATATCTTAAATCATGAGTACATACATATCCCAATTTTTATATCATTTTTTTAGTCTCAGCTTTTGATTAATAAAAAGCTTATTTTCCCCATAATATGTATGTATAGGAGAGAGTGCCAGACACCTGTCTCACTCTCTCTTCTTTTTTCCTTTTAACAGAATTCCAGGATTTATTTAGATTAGCAGTAAGTCTTTCTTTCCTGGTGTACAGACGTGACTGACAAAATTTTGGTCAGTTACATGAAATTGTAAGTGTAACACATTGGATGCTTCTGGGAGGTTTCCTTAAACTTTTAAGACTTAAAAGAGGAATGGACCAGCTCTTTCTTTCTTCCTGCTGGAACATACATGCAGTGGCTAGAGTCCAGCAGGCTTCTTAAACAATAAAATAGCCTTGGAAATAGAAACCATGAGTGGCAGAGAAATAAGATATAGAAGATTGGATCCTGATATTGAATGTTTTCTTGGACTGCTGTACATAAAGTGTTAATAAAATGTCAGCTATGATTAGAAATGATCCCTTTCTGGTAAACTATCTGGATAAGGAATTATAAATGGCTACTAAAAAAACATTACCTTTGGGCATTTGAATGTTGTGTTTATTACTGCAAAGATCTCTAGAAGCTACACTCATGGGCTGTTTCAGGAGACACTGGTTTTTCAGATGCATGAAGCTGTTAAGCTAAAATGGCTTCTTCATCTGCGCTGGTGATCTTACTCCTTTAGCCTTGCAGTGATATGTGGGAGGCTGAAATAGAGACTTCTGCTCAAGAAAACTTTGGGCTGCTGTTCCCTTTTCTGTAGAAATAAGGAGATTAAAAAAACAAAAAGGGAGATTTAGTGCCAAGTTGGGTCGCATAAGACACATTGGGTCCTGTGAGTGTGGATGTCTTTCCAAACCTGTGACGACTGCTGCTATTCACGCATTGCTGCTGCCCACTTCTATGTAAGAGGAATAACTTCTTGTTTCAGGTCACTCTGAAATAGCCACCTAGTCCTAACTGCTGCATGATGCATTTTAGAAAACATGAAAAATACAGAAGAGTATAGGTTGGAAGATTCTTGAGATTTGTAATTTTGCAAATGAAAACAGATTTAGACTTGATGTGTTGAGGAAAATAAAGTTCTGAAGAGAGCATCATGGTTTTTAATTTTTTTTTTCTTATATTTTATTTATTTATTCATACAGAACTGGGGTACAGGCCAGAGATGTGGAGGGTGAGAGGGTTCACCAGAGACAGAGTGGGGAGCAGAACAGGCAGATCTACGAAGTACACTGCTGAGGGGAGCAGCGGGTGGGTCAGGAGAGGTCTGCCACGCCATGTGGTCACCTCTGGGACAGGTAGGGATCCAACTCAAGCTGAAGTGGCTTTAGCTTCTTAGTGCTGTGCTTTAACCCGCTGCGCCACCAGGGAGGGCCCATGGTTTTTAATTTTTAAACCTATTTCTGTGTTTAGAATTTAGTAAAATCTTATGTTCCAACTATAGAATATTTTGTAAGACTAGAACTTCTGAGACTTTCTCTACCACAGATCTTCCTTACCAACCAGAATTACTTACAAATTAGTTTTGGAAACACAATCTCTCTTGTAGCTGTCACACTACTACTATTGACACTGTAAGTTCAATTTATCATTAATGACATTCTGCCGAGTAGGATCAAGTTGTTAAGGCACATCATAGAAAATTGTATGTTAAGGCCATTATGTTATAGAATACCCCAAATCTGTTATGAGGACAGGGGGAGAGGGACACCCCTGAAGCCCCCAAACCTGCCTGCTCTAAGTGGGTTCTGCCATCCGCCGCGTCAAGACAAAACATAAAACTTTAATGAAAAGGGACTTTAATACAGTAAATAT